ATTTCACATCTAATTATTAGAGATATGACAGACGTGTTTAGGATTGGGTTCTATTACTTCTGTTTAATTATTTAGGTATAAATTAATCTCATTAATAAATAGAATGACGCTGATATTTATTGATATTTTTTAATACAATGAGGCAAATTCAAATGAAACAAATGCTAAAACCTAACGTTTAATATTTAAAACCGAAGATATATTTTTCATATATTGATCTAAAGATCTTGAGTAGAAATCTAATAATATACATGACGCCCACACAATTCTTTACCCAGGCTTTACTTTCGCAACCGATGGTCGCACACATATACTTCCGGTTCAAGAAATGTTTTGTATGATGATAATATTGATACTTTCGTATTTTTAAATAAAAAATAATTAATGTTTTATAAAATAAGAAATTTAACTTTTCACACGTTCCTTTATTCCTTATATTTAGGATATATTATATCCCAAATAAGCGATATTTAGGAAACTGAACAACAAACAAGAAAAACACAAAAAATTAGAAACACTAAAAATTAGCTTAGAAACTCTAAAAAAACTAAAACTTAGTTTCGCGTGATTAATTCCGTACAATAAAAATTAATTCCGTTTTTAGAAACACTAAAATTTATTTCCGGCCGATTAAATTTAACGAGATGTATAGTTTAAAAATTCAGGATATTTGGCATCATTTTGAATTTGCATTCAGAGGTCGGTTAATAAAAAAATTAGGATAGTTCTAAGTTGTATTTTTTCTCCTTAAATATCACTCAATGATATTCTTTTGTGATTAATTGTCTTAACAATTTTGTTGCATGTGATATGTCGAAATAATTTTCACACAATCTCTGAAAGCTTATCAAGTAATTGATAAGCTTTCAGAGCCTAAAAATATTCTGTTACATTCTCATCAAGTTTTAATACTTTAGACTCATAATTTGGCCACCGCGAAAATTTTGTTAAAGTAAAAATGTTTTTGATGTTTAAATAATGCAAATAATATTAGGAGTTAGTATGCGCTAACACTGAAGCCTACCAATGTTTTCCAGAGCACGCAATTTATAAGATTCTGTGAATAAGATTTCCTTTTTGAAGCGCAAATTATATTGATCAATATTTCTCATAATGATCCATACGGAAATGTTCGGCGAGTGATTTCTTAACAACAGAAACCTTTTTCTAAGCGATATTTTATTTTTAGTTACATATAAATGCAAACATTTCTTTCTTGGGTTTGTATACGTTAATTGAATATCAATTGAATATTAACCCTGCATTAGGCGCACGGGTGACCTGGGCATGACAATTTAAAAGTTTGTATATTCCGTTTCATCTCCTTAATGTAGACAGAACTCTTCGTACCTTTCAGTGAAATACTTAGAAATCATGCTTCGCGGTCATTCAAGACCATTTCTTTGGCGTGAAAGAAGTAGCATCAAACCACAGTGGTGGAGATCTGACTCGCGACTAAACGCTTAACAAAAATTGAAAGGCATATGCTATCTCATTTTTAATATTTTTTAATTCCTTTTCAGCCTTTATGCTGTTTTATTTTTATAAATATTAAATTTAATTTAAGTAATGGTTAATCAATAAAACACTTTTCTCGTTTTTTAATATTTTTATTTTTATATGAGATGTATTACATAAGTTTATTTAATTTTCTCATGAGAAATATTTCTGCATTCTTTTTTTTTTTCAGTCTTACAGAATGTCAGAGAGTGAGGAAGGGAAGGGATTAATTCCACTAAACGGAGGCGGGTGAAAGAAAAACAGAGATCCAGAGCAATACTGGAATTGGTTGTAAGAATATGAAAGTGAGAAGGAATCAGAAAGTGCATCAGACATTGATGAAAGTGATGGAGATGATGATGATTACATCCGCCAAAGTGATCATAATAGAAGGTCAGACGAAGACAAAAGGGAGTAGATGAAGAGGAAATTTTACAAGATAATTGATTCAAACTCCTCTAGGAGATATTATGCAGGTAACGATAATACAACTAAATGGTGTAAAGAAAAAGCTAACTGCAATGTGTGCACGCGATTTTGCAGTATTGTAATTCATTTTCCCGTGCCTATTGTAGAAGCTCGAAATGCAGCAACGAAATCGAAACAACCAATTTATTTATAAATGATGATATTTTAAAACTAATAACTGAATATACTAACATTTATATAGATTTTTCGACGAGAACGTGATGCATCTGCTATTGATATAACGGAGCTTCGAAATTTCTTTGGTTTACTTTCTTTTATTGGAAATCAAAGGTGTTCCAGAAAAAAACTTCATAAATTGTTTGATAATTCTAAAAGCCAAGGCCCTTACAACGTCTGAAAAGTTCTTACCTTAATGTATCTGAAAAGAAATTTAGATTATTAGTTAAATGCATAATATTTGATGATATTCGCAATAGAGATGTCTGTAAAGTTAATGATAAACTAACTGCAAGTGAATATCTCACAGAAGATGACCAACTTTTATCTTTCAAAGGCAGATGTAGCTTTAAACAATACTACATTTCCAATAAAACCTCAAAATATGGGTTGAAAGTATTTTCTTTAGTTGACAGCAAAACATTTTCTACCATAAATACTTATATCTGTATATACCTGCATATATATTTATAGACAATATTTAGACATACGTTGAAAATCAGCCTGATGGTCTTTATGATATCAGAAATTCACCAACAGATATTGCTCTAAGATTAACTGGTCCTGTGAATGGAACTAAACGAAACATCACAAGAGATAATTGATAGAATAGTTTAGATCTTGCGAAGAAGATCTTAATTGAAACATACGTTGGAACCATTTGTTCAGACATAAGGGAAGGTTCAAATCAGTTTTCACTTTGTAAGGATTATGTTAATTTATCTAACAGTTAAATTTTGAGTTAAAGTTTCTTATCGCTTCTTAATTTCAAGCTTACAACTTCCGGCCAGAACGTAGTTTTAGAATCGAGATGGATGCAAATGAGAAGTGTTTAACTCTGAAGTTCTACTGACATCGCGAAGAGAGAACCAGTGATTCTGACTAGCGCGCGTTCGTCTTTTTAGGCTGCTCTCTCTTAAGCTATTATTACGCTCGGCCGTACTTATGTCCTTGACAGCTTGTACTTAGGTCCTTGATTGCTTGTACTTAGGTCCTTGATAGATGATAAGGGACCAACTTGGTTAGAATATTGATAGCTTTGACTATATCTTTTTAGTTAAGATTAGTTAAGTTTAATTTCTTAGTTTCTGAGTTCACACACGAGTAGAGGCTTTATTGTAAAACTCCAAGAAGGAGTTCTGTGAAATTAATATGGAATAATAAAGGGCATTTAACCCTTTCAAAGTTTTATTTTCGGTCTCACGAACTCAAGCAATTATTCGCTTACCAGTTCTTAAGATTCTTTAATTGTAACTTAGAAGTACCCAGATTAGAATCTTACAACCTAATAAACAGCGAGAAGAAAAGTCTTCAATATATAGCTTCCAGTCAGATGTCACGGTAATTCCTCACTGTCTCAAGAAAAATAAACTACCCAAGTACTCTCGATCATGCATTTTTCTGATACAATTGAAACACCTGGTGATGAAAACGCACTAGAGATAATTGTTTTTATAGAATGACGAAAGAGGGCGTTGGTACTTTAGATCAGTTGTGTAAAAATAATGATGTTCCAAGGAATACACGAGGTTGAATTATGGTTCTTTTTTATAAAATTTTAAGCACTAGTGCAATTAGTGCATTAGTGATTTTTAAAAGCAAAAACATGGATAAGAAAGTAAAGAATAGATGTTTTAGAATCAGTATGTTCGGAGCTTACATCACTGCAAGTTGAGCGTAGATCAGCAAACGCTTGCATCTCTCGGAAGTTAAAGAGTCGGGCAAATGTTCTTCGCGAAAAGGGACCTCTAGCACCAGACGCATCGAAATGAATTGGTAATCGTGGTCGAGTCATAAATGTGGAAGGAAAAGAGACACAAGTACCCGAAAATGGTGTTCAAAATGTTATAATTGAGTATGCTGGGACCATTTGAGAGAAATATCTGTACATTGCTATGACACTTGAGTTCCTTATGTGATTTTTTCTTGGTTCATTACTATGTTGTTCCTACTTAATTGTATGTTGCTGTTCTTGTAAGTTTTATAAACAAAAATTTAAATATGGATCCTTTTATTTTAGAGTGTTACTTTATTATTTTTTGATGAAGATATAATTAAATGGTATATGAAAAATTGGGTGATATATGTTTCCCGCGCGACTAAACGCCTAATGAAAATTCACGCGCCTACCCTAGGGTTAATTTGTACACGGCAGATGAACTTCTGTATGAAATACCTCTGTAAATTTTTGTCGTACGGAAGACAAACGCTTCGTCCGCCCCTCTATAACGAATGCAAAGGTATTTTTTAGTGTAGTTATAAGGATTAAAGGAACGCATGAAAACTTAGATTTCGTAATTTTTACAGAATTGATTTTTTTAAAATTTAACAGTGCCAAAACATGATTTTTTGTGTCATTTGAAAAACTTTCGTAATGGAGTGTATGTCCACGACCAACGGTTGAGAAATTAAAGACCAAGTAAAGACATTTGTAGATACAATGTATAGTGTATGCTTTTGAATCTATATAGGAATTCTGTCTCTAAAAAGTAATATAAATTTGTTATTTAAGTTTGTAGATATCACATGCGCATGTGCAGTAAAACAGACATAAGTTATATATAACGGGGGGATAAAACACTTTGCAGTTCCAGTTGAAAATATGAATAAAATATAATATTCTCATTTATAAATGAAATAATTCTCTATATGATAAGTTTACCTAACGACGGTTTTCATTATATGTTTTAAAATTTAATTTCTGCTACATAGGTTTTGACCTGTCTGATTCTAATATATATTTTGTGCTTAATCTTTAGTCTTTTTTTTCATTCGCATAATAAAAAATCTCTCTGAATCTATTAAATATAAAAATCGAGAATATTCTCATTTAATCTATTCTAATTTCTTTTCCAATATAAACTCTAATCCTTTCCTGCGTTAATATTAAGAAGAAAAGGTCAGCCCTCGTACACGGGTCATAAAGGCGGCAGAAAATCGTGCCTTGTGCCATGGTGTAGAGGTGTACTCCAGAATACAGTTACATAGACAGTCACACACAGATTGATTACAGCTCGAAATGAACTGTAATTACAGATTACGAACAAATAGTTCGACTTCGACAACAATGAGCAAACAAGATCGAAAGACGTTGCCATCGATATGAGCTGAGATTGTAACTGATTAATGGCCAGAGAGGAACATCGAATATCACTCCATAATTGATGAACAAATGGTCGAAGTAAATACTCAAATACTCTCCTGCTTCCGGCCTTTTTCAAGGGACATCCAACTGTTTCCTGTTTCTCATCGTCTCACCAGGAGCCCAAAGAGCAGAAGCCACAGCAGGACAATGATGTGTTCACGTATATTTGGTGATGAGTCGACGTGAGCTGAAGGACAATCAATAACATGCCGGTGGAAGTCCTGTCTGCGTCTTCTTTCGCAATCATTCCTGTGATGACCTATGCAGGCAGCATAAGCCATAGCGTGTGGGACATAAGTTTGTTCCAGAACTCCTCTGAAGAGATGGGCCATTGGTCCATGAGCATACACAGGTACGTCTTCCCCTCCATGTGTATCCCATCGGCGTGGAACAGCACTCTGCTGCACGTAATTTTTATCTTCTGAAATAAAGAACAATATTGAATAAGAGATGTCAGTAATTATTGAGAATGTATCTAATACTTTTAACATTTTCTTTTCCTTCATTTGATGAAATTTCTTTTAAACATGATATCTAAGGAATTCGTTTTTGCTGCATTGTGAAAATATATTAATCACTACTATAATGAAAATTACGCATCATTTCACCGAATTTAGTATTTAACTTTATTAACCTAATAATTTAATTATTTCTCCTGCCATAAATAATTATTGAATGTTCAAAATTCATTTCAACAAATAAAAAATAAATTTACTGCGTTGATTAATTTACTTTTATTGAATGATAGTCTTCCGAACTCAGCACGCTTGGTAGATTTATAACAAAAATACTACATATTCAATTGCTTAAGGTACTCGCATTATTTAAATGAAAGAACAAATATCAAAATTGGCGGCGAGAAGCCTATTTTTACACATTTCAGTTCTGAAAGATTAATTACGTAGGAATTTTTATATTTTCATTCAAAAAGACAATGAATACTATTTAATAAGTATTTCCTTTAATATGGTTTCAATAAAAGAAACTTTTAAACTAGTATTTATTTAGGAACTTCGAAAAGTCAACATATGGGATCCCCTCCTAGACTGAACCGCGTGATTATTTTCTCAAACATTTTACTTCATGGTGTTTTATATATATATATTTACACACACACTGGTGCAAAAACATAAATGTACCCAAAAATTGAGCCACAGCTACAAACTCGGCTGTAGTATAGTGTTCGAGTAGATAAAAAATGATCAAAAACTGGAGCAAATAAAAATGTCTTTGTTTACGAGTATTAATGCAAGGAACGTCAAAATCAGTAGGCAGTAAATCCATCGCTGGCAGCTATACAAGCCGATACTCGGTTGGGCATTCAGTTAAGTTACCAGTGTCCTTCTGCGGTATAGTGTGCCATAACTGGAGCCACTGCTCAGCATGTCTGGACATATTTCTACGCGGTTGAATTATTCTGCCCAACATGTTCCAAACATGTGCGATAAGCGACAGGTCTGGAGATCTCGTAAACCTGTCAAGGAATAGATTATTAGGAAGAACATGGAATTATATTAGGACACGTCGAATACATTATTGGCAAAGTCTAGCTTATGTGTCATGTTGGAAAACAGAGCCTGGGAGACTTGCTAGAATAGACAGCGTACTCATCAACGTACTAGCGAGCCGCCCACCCGGGACAGTGGTTAGCGACGCTGACGGAAGTTATTATATTATTCGAACCCGAAGGGCTCAGGTTTGAATCCCGGAGAAGGCATGGATATTTGTACATGTATAGTGTCTGTGTGGCATGGGGCATTCTAAATACGCGATGAGCCGAAAGTACTCTCAAAAGGTTGGTGGTTGGGGAAGGGGAAGACCTTCGGACCCGTCCCCCGTGGTGCGCTGTGTCAAAATTGGAGGAGGAACTGAAGAAAGTCATAAAGTCACCTGTATCAAGGCCCTTGCCCAACCACCTCAAGGCTCTTGCCAAAGGGAGGCGCAATCTTGAAAATCTTGCACTCCATGATACTACGATGAATTTCGTGGGCTTGTTCTAATGTTACTGTCAGACAGGTGAGATGAATCACAAGAGCAACAACAAGGTACCAGCGAGCCGTATGCAGCTTTCATCAGCATTAATAGGAAAGCGTGATTCGTCATTTAATATCATATTTCTCCACTCGTATACTGTCCAGCTTGAACGACAGCGGCACCATGCAAATCGACACAGCTTATAATGGAGTAGCAATACAAGCGTCTTATTGGGCTCGAGATCTGAACCCAGCGTCAACTAGTCTTCTGCGAATCGTATCCTAGGATTTCCCAGGATTCCCGAGAGTTGGGAAATGCCGTTGAATCGACGACAGCAATTGGTGATGCAGACGTGGCAGCTCCAGTAATTGCACTATCATCTCAGACATTAGTAGTCCTTGGGCGTGTCGAGCCACCACGGCAGTTGATTATGCCACTGGCTCCAACAACGGACTACGACCATGTCTCTTTGATCAATACGTCTGCCGATCCGCCTGTTCGACCAACCGGCCTTCTTTAACCCAATGATGGGACCCCTCTGATAGTCTGACAACTCTTCGTAGCGCCGACAAGTACGTCGTAAAGGCATCTTTCGCGATGTCGTATATTCAAGCCGTTAGTGCGCTCGTAAATGCTCGTCACTCGCAGCATCTACTCTTTTACATTCTACCATTTACGCATTTCATAAGCGCCTTGTACGGCTCCACAATGCTGATTGGTAATACAAGTTTAACCATTTACAGAACTCGCCAAACCCCATTTGCATGCTGCTTTTCGTAGTTGTGGCTCAGTTTCTTCTGGGCACATATTTTTTTGCTAGAATTTGTATTTAAATGCTGTAGTTGAAAAAATTGTTTTTCCTAAATTTTATAGTGGGTAACTTTGCGATAAACTGTATACTAATCACTGTTTATTTAATTTAATAGCATGTAAAATATGTTTCATCTTTATATCGATTACCAAAAGAAATCTGTACATTATTATTCGGAAAAATCGAATACAAATGTTGAATTTTAAATCTGAGTTGTGGAAAGTATGCTTGTTTCTCAAGTTTTCCTTTGAAAATAACGATCGTTTAGTTGTATATACCTCTTTTCCTAGAAGAAAAGTTGGTAGAGTAGTGTAAGTGGACAGCATGTGGCGCCTGATTTACTTATCCGTAGACTATGAATATCTACAACGATTGACTACAGCCCTCCCATCTCGTGTATGTTTTCGTGTTTTTTTCTAAGACTCTACGTTGCATATTAAATTCTTAAACATATACTCTGTAGTCATTCTTAAACGTGTACTCTGTCGACTGACGTTTAGAAACAGGAGTGATATTGTAGTATCACTTATGGGCTATTATAAAAGTAATAATATGGATCTTCTCTTGACAAATATAACTCATGTGAAGCGATACAATCCTGAGGTCATCAGCAACACATCTACATCCGCTCTTTTCCAGACGAATGATAGTTTTTAGTCGCTGTAGTAACTGTGATAATTCAAAGATACTGCTATCCGGTTCGGTGCATCTAAGTTTTTTTTTTTTTTTTTTTTCCAGAAGAGGGGTGTTAGTTTCATTAATATTTTGCTTCCTGGCACCTTACATTAAATGAGCAAATAATAATATTTGATTTTACTAAAAAAATGGTGGTTGGATATGTGCATTACAAGTAAGGTTTGATGCATAGTATAGCTGAACAATTTTATCTATATTTCGCATCTTCTCCTTTGATTCTTACAGTTCGTTTTCCATAATACATGCCCGCCACATTACTTTTCGTTCACGTTCCTTCAGAATAACCAAACTGCGTCTGAAGAAAGGAACTGTTTTGCAATATTTATATTAAAAATTTGAGGTTGATTATAGTGATAATGCTTAAATACCTCATACTACGAGAACGTTGTGCAGTTGAAAACAATCATATTATAAATCAATTCAAAGTAACTTGAGTTATATCTAATCTCAAGAACATGTCTACCGAAACTCAAAAAACGTCAAAGTTCTATTTCATTTTCTATTTCATTATAGGTTGAAACGGCAAACGATAAAAATGTGTTATGTGTTTTTGCGTCTTTATATTCTTTCAGAACTACTCATATTTTGAGTCATAGACTGAAATTACATGTTAATTGCTTTGCTTTAGGGATTGATTTATTTCTTAAGACATGCATCGAGAATTGAGATTATTATGTTAAACTCCAAAACTGATTCTAACCTGTATCAGTTCCTGTGAGGTTCTCTCGACCAGTGGGGAAATTTCTATTGTATCCAGGCCCATTTGCGTATAGCAAAGTTGTGTAAGGCATATTGTCTACATCTGAATCTTTGTTATCTAAGCCTGAAAATAAAATTAAATTGAGTTAAAGAAAATAATTACATCCATTTGCTTAAAACTAGAAGTCCAGACGGCAACTCAGTTTAATGCATTACCTAATATCGGATTTCCGCGCTTTGGAGTTCCTCCAAATGCAAATACGTGAGAGTGGTCAGAAGTGACTACTAAAAGAGTGTCTTCTGGTCGAGTCATTTCCAAAGCAGTGACGACAGCGTCCTCCAGAGCAAGGGTGTCAGCCAGAGCTCGATGTGCATTATTGAAGTGATGAGAGTGATCGATACGACCTCCTGTTAGGATACATCCAATAATGTATAATATATTAAGAACAATGTTATTAAAATTTTTTGCAAAACTTTTAATTTGTTTTGTTATAAAAATAAGGCTAGCTGAAATTGAAAACATTTTTGTTGCAACGTTCAAATATGTGACTGGAATTTTCTTGTCACACATGCGATTTTATGACATGCAGTTGAAATTTTTATCAGAATCCTTAAATTTATACCTGCGTCGAGGTAAACACTTCTTATAACGAATTTTTATAAAGCGAGGTAGAATTCTTATGTTATTCTAATATTAAATAGTTAAATCAATAATTTAATATTTGAATGATATTATATATGGAATAATTTCTTTAGTTTACGAAACATTCAGTATGTGTGTCATAAGTTAATTTTCAGAGAAAATATCCAGAAAAAATGTAATTGCCTTTCTACAGTTTGATGCCAATGTAATGCTGCTCTTACCACAGGTACTGTCTACGGGGATAGAAGAAAAGACAAATTCATAAACAATCATTTTTGCAAAGGTACACTACAAATCTTATTTAATGATACCAAGAATTTGTATGAATGAAACGTAATGTATTTGATATACCAAATTAAACAATTAAATGGTAAATAATTAAAGGCTGTTACTTTCATAACTTGGTCCTTATGTCACTATGCGAAAACGTAAGGAGGGATATGAAAGGGATATCAAAGATTTCTTAGAAAGAGGGATAAAAAATAGGAATTTTCATGCATTATTTATATGGAATTAATTAATATGAAATTTAATAGCAGATTTAGAGACTGTTCTCTAGTGTTTGTTTTTTAGAATAGCCAGATTCTGAATTATGTCAGTCCAAATTTAAAGACTGCCAAAGTTCAGATTGTAGCTGTGATAAATATTTATGATCAAATCACACGTTCACACTATTGATATGCATTTGTGCGAAGTAGCAAAAGACAGAACCTCAGTACATTCCACAACTGACGAATGGACAACAGAATGCTGTTTGAAAACATTTCCTTTGAAGATGATCGACGCTGCGGTCGTCTATTTGAAGTAATCGCATCGGAAGTGATTGCCAAAGTAGAAAATTTGTAATTTTAGACAGAAGATAAGTAACTTTTGGTATAGATTGTGGACATTTCCCTTAAGAGCTTAGAAACAACTTTAAGAAACTGACTTATGATGAAACAATCCTCAGCTCGTTGGGAAATTGATGCACAGACAGGAGGTTGAAGATTTGGGAGTCACTTTTGACAACATTTCAGTCCAGCTCCAGGGAAAGTACATACAACTACAGAACCCTAATTGAAATACTGATTTATGCAACTCTTTGGCATGATAGTAAATAACAAAGCATGATTTGCAAGCTTATCTTTTCTCTCGTAAGCAAAACATTTCTCGTGCCAGTTTATGATGTCGCATTTATCCATAATTAGATTGCTTTTCTCGGCGAGAGTTTCATAATCGATAGAATAATACATCAATAACACTGGAAAATTCTTCTAGTTTTTCAATTTAGCCTCATTGTTTTGATATAAAATTATCTATTTTGGGCTGCTGTCCAAGATGTGCGTAAGTTGTGTCCAGCTTACACACCCAACAGATATAAAAAGGATCATTAACTCAGGATGCTGCTATTTCAAATAGATTACAGCTAAAAAAATATAAACGATACAGATAAAAATTAAAAAGGGGATTTGAATAAATAGGGCATCGTCTATACCGTGTTTCTACGATTTGAGGTTATTGCCATTTCGAAAGTCTCAAAACATATTAATTATTTATTTGTGTCATCTTAAATATGATGCATTCAGCCATTTGAAAAAAAAACACTTATAAGATGCTCGTTGATAACATAAAAAGTAATCCAACAGGATTTAACTGTAAGAAAATGAACTAATGTAATTTACATTAGTTCACTATATGAAAGATCTTATGGTGCTGAGCAACTAGATTCCAGTATGAAAAATAATTCATATCAGTGTCTTTTAGGAAGATTGCTTTAGAAAGATGTAAAAATAAAACGCTGACTAAAATTTATGAATAATGTATAATAAACAGAAACTTAAGAATTTGAGAGATACTTCATAAGCAGGATATTTACAAATAAAATCATGATGCTTCTGGTTAAAAATAAAGTCATGCTATAACATTTTAAGCAGAATTTTCAATTATTTTAGTACCTTGCTCTACATCAAATTTGATATATGTAACATTTATAACTATATCATTACGAAATGACGGCTAGGACAATATGAGGTACCTTAAAAGTTCCCAAAGAGATTCTTAAATTTCTGTAGTTTGTATAAGCATATTGTAAAGTTTAACTAATTGTAAAGTTTAACCATCACATATCCATCCCAACTGGATATTGATCTGCTGTGTTGATCTGCTCTTGAACTTGTTAAGCAATTTTTTATACTTTATTTGCTGCAGCTTCTAAAGAATGTATCATTTATATACGGTATAGTTTCTGCTTTTCTTTACATAGTGATAAATAAGCGTATACTTGGGGTCAACGTAATCATGTTGAGGTATGTAATACATAAATATGAATTTACTTAAAATTCTGTTCCTTCTTGGAGAAACGATATTTGTAACGATATTAATAACACGAGTGGTTTTTCACTGTGTTTGCAATACATGGTAATCCAGAAATCATTGAACATCTAAAATTGTTTTATTGTAATAACAAAAGAAATATAAAAACGCATAACAGTATGAAATATTTACTATATGCATTTGAGTTTACAATTCGCTCACCAATTGACGCTTAATCTACAGCAAGGATAAGATGTTCTTCAAGATTCTGAGTGTTATGAAGAAAAAATGAAGGAAAATCTACAGTATCCTGATAATCTCATTAAGGACGTTCACCATAGTTTGTTTCTGCATTTCTTTGTAACGCCAACAAAAGATCAGTTCTCTGACACCTGTAGACGTTTCTCTCCTTGGAAGATCTCTTTAAGAACTGCTTCAACTTTCATATTATCTTCATCGTTCTTGATGTAAGCAGTGGTCTTCAACCATGTTTCCTATTCTTAAACTAAAGAAAATGTTATAAAACTATACTTCTTTCCTTGTAATAATGCGACACTAAAAGGATTATCCGCTCATGGCAAAAACATCGACGGGACATTAATCAGTGTAATCAGTCATTTAATTCACTCCCTTGTAAATTTACACATTTGCTTAATAGCTATGTTACCGCATACTACAAAAGCACTGCAATGTAATTTTGACATCTGGATACCCTTTTAGGTGGTTGTGACTCATTTTCGAACATTAAATTTTCATGATTTCCCAAATGAACTTAAAAAGATGTAAAACCAAGAATAAGAAGAAATAAAGAAAATATGAAGCAAGAAAAATAAACTGCAAGATTTAATTAGTCTATTAATAAATAATTAAAACGTAACTAACCTTCGACCATAAGGAAGTAACCAAGAGGATTCTTCTTCAGTATCGAAATAGCTTTTCGTGTCATCTCTGCAAGCGACGGTTCACCTTCTGGACCAGAATCCCTATCCACCTCATAAGCCATGTGTCCATAATTGAATAGACCTGCAGTTGCAAAACATATAGAATGCTAAGTGATGAATTTGAAGTAAGTATTTAAAGATGCAGCCATCACATATTCTCCAAGGAGTAGCATTTCATCGCAACATAAATATTACATAATTAACTACAGGAAATATTTTGCAGAAATGCTTGCACTACGTTTTTAGAAAAATTACACTTAACAGAAAAAATACATATTTAGAAAGAATCAATAAATAATTCAAGGCATATAGGAGTATAAAGCATGTAGAGTCATTAGGTTCTTTTTGATGCTGGGAGACGTGAAAAATGTGCAATGCCCTGGCCGGGATTAGAACCTGGACCTCTAGAATACGCGCCGAGTGTGCAACCCTTATACCACGAAGATATGCATAAAGGATGGAGAAAATACCTTATATACTCCCCATTTTAAAGGGCGACTGCGGATTAGGGGACCCGATTTCCACAACCTGGTGATGAAGAATCATCATCCACAACCCTTTTCAGTTCGGGTGCCACTATAGAGTCACTACAATCTTTTTTATCCTGGGAAACGTAAAAAAGGCGCAATGCCCTCGCCGGAACTTGAATATGGACCCCTCGAATACGCGCCGAGTGTGCTACCGTTACACCACGAAGGAATGCAGAAAGGACGGAGAAAATAACTTATAAGCATTTTATAGTATGCACTATTTTATGCACTATTTTATGTAATTACTTTTTCGCTTGCTGTTGGAAGTGCTGTGTTAAACATGAGCCTTCTTATTATCGTCCATGAGGTTTGGTCCATGAGGGTTGCAGCACACTCGTATATTACATATTACATATATATTATATATATATAATAATAATAATTTCATAATATAAAATTTTAATTTTAATTAGCTTTATACGAATACAGAATGTTTGTTAAATTCCAATTTCATTCCTTGCAGCAATGGCGCAAGAGAATTATTTAAATTTAAATTAATTGAACTTATTATTTATTCTTATGAAACAATTTTGTTTGTACTTAGCAGCTTTTAGAGCTAAGTACTTTGTTTGTTTCTCGGATTTCTCTTTTTTTTTTTTTTTTTTTCAAAATTTAACTACTTTTTCAAGTTCTAATAGTTTGGTTTTCTTTAATTTGTTTTCTTTAGTTTACTGGATAAATAATTTTATGCACTTAGTTCTTTTTTAACTTTAAAAAAATTAACTTACACTATCCGTTTTAATAATTTAAATTTCAATTAATTTAAAATTTGTTTTATATGACCAGAGAATTTTTGTTTAATTCAAATATATTGTTACGAATTTGGTATTTAAAAAGCTAATGTTAGTTCAATTACAAATTAAATGGTTTTATTTCTCGCGCAGTGCAGCGCGTGACGAATATTAAAAGAAAGCTAAGCCGGAAAATTGAAAATACAAGAGCGCGTGCATTAAATAAATAAATATCTCTTTTTGATTTCGAGAAAGTACTGGAAAATTCTAGCGCGTGATTTTAAAATCTTGTAAAAGGAGGAAAACATCTCAGTTTGTAGTAGTTTGCTTAGTTTGTTGTTGTTTAGAAAACTACTGTTGTTGATTGTAGCGAATTCGCGGATTAGCGTTCTTTAGCTGTTTTGAATTACGTTCTATTGGACATTTGAGTAGTTAAAAGAAAAACTACTGTGAGATATTGTAATACTGCATGATAATTTGAGAAAATTTAAGCATTTTTGTTGTGTTGTGATAATAATAAATTTTTGTTCATTTTTCATCGGACTTGTGCATTCATTTCATAACGAACCCGTACGCACGCAACAATTTTTGGTGTCAGGAGTGGGGTTTGAATGCCAATAACGAGAGGGATGGAAGAACAATTGAGACAGCTCATTAGTGCTTTTGCTGCATTCCAAGAAAAGATGGAAGCTGGCCAAGCATCATTTAAGGAAGAAATGAAATTGGGCCAGGAATCCGTTAAGGAAGAAAGAAATGAAATTGGGCCAGGAATCCGTTAAGGACGAAATGAAAGCCGTTCAAGCTGGTCAAGAAGAAATGAAAAGAGAAATTACTTGCATAATAGAAAATAAATTTGAAGCTATGGAAGGCAGAATTGATGCAGTTGAAATTTGAAAATAAAGTTGGACATATTGAAGAAAGAGTTTCTTCGGTGAAAGAAGAAATAGAAGAAAGAGTTTCTTCTGTAAAAGAACAAATTGATGAGAGAGAGAGTTTCTGCAGTTGCCAAAGAAATGGATACTTTAAAGAAATTCGTAGCGTCGGCAGGGAGCAGGAGTGATGATTTTAAATTCTTACCAATGCCTGCTCGTCCACCTCTGAAGCTATCCACATATGATGGGAAGACCTCCTGGCAGGTGTATAAGACACAATTTTCTATCGTGGCGGATGCGAATGGATGGGATTCCCAAGCTAAGGCCTGTCATCTCGCCGCTTCTCTGAGAGCAGACGCAGCGGATATCCTGCAGACGCTTCCCGAAAACCAAAGGCTAGACTTTCGAAGCTCTATCCGGCGCATTGGAGCTGCGCTTTGGCGAGAAGTGTTTAAAAGACTACAGCAGGCTCCAATTAAAATCTCGTCAACAGAAGCCTACCGAAACACTTCAGGAGCTCGCCGCGGATGTTGAAAGGCTGTCCCATCTCGCCTTTTCGGAATGCCCGACAGAAACAAGGGAAATCCTGTCCTTGCAATACTTTATCGACGGCATCCGAGATACTGAAATACAGAAAGCTCTACGAATGGCGGATGTAAAAGATTTAAAAAGCGCTCTGTTGTACGCCATGAAGTTCGAGGCAGCCCAGCAAGCAACTAGTAGAGATCGCGCTACCCAGTTAGAGCTGTGCGAGTCCATGAGCCAGTGGATCAACTGATGGCTCGTTTAGATGATTTAGCCAGACAAGTCGAAGATTTGATACGGAGTAGGAGCGAGAAGAAAGTGGCTCTAAGGTGTTGGAGATGTGGTAGTGAAGGTCACCTAAGACGGAATTGCAGAACACCCCAGGGTACGGAATATAAAGCAGATGATTTTACCAGACAAGTCAGTGGCTTGAGACGGAACAGAAGTGAAAGAAAACTAATTCTAAAGTGCTGGAACTGCGGAGTTGAAGGCCACATACGAAGAAACTGCAGAACACCCCGAGGTACGGAAAATAAGACCATTTCCCAGCAAAAACGCAGTAAACAAATTAGTGACCATATCGAGGAACGGAGGTTGCCAGATAGTGAAAAACCTTGTTTTAAAGCTCTTAAAATTTATACAGTGAGTGGCAACAATAACGGACTGTCCATCAATGGGAATATCGATGGAGTTCCTTGCAGAATGATCATTGACACAGGAGCTAATGTTACCATCATTAGGAAAGATTTAGCTGAACAGTTTAAAGATAAACTTATTTGGACGCCATCCTGTGTTACCCTTCAGACTGCGTCTGGTGACAAGATCGACATAACTGGGAAGTTAAACGTAAACATCACGTTTGGAAGTGCCGCCTACCATCACACGGCATATGTGGCGGATATTACAGATCCATGCATACTCGGATTGGACTTTTTAAGGAAATACAATTTTTCCTTAGACTTGAAAAACAACAAACTGCTTTCAGGATCTGAAGACATGACTATCCATCCTAAGAAGGGATCCTCACCTGGAAATGCCGACGCTTTGTCCGAAAGAACCAGCTCGAGAAACAGCCGCCGAAATCATGCTAGGGTCGAAAGAAACACCAGACTACCAGCTATTCTCCATCTCAGATGCTCTTCGGTCGAGACCTTCGTCTGCCTTGTGACCGCCTGTTTCATCGCCGTACGGATGCGCCTTCATCGCCTGAGGAACACATCCAAGATGTCAAGGCCCGTTTTGAAGTGATGCACCGTTCCGCACGAAAGCGAGTGAACTTGGCGACGGAGAAAGTGAAGACCAGATACAACACGAGAGCTGCTGGACATAGATCCAACGAAGGAGACAAGGTGTGGTTGTGGAACCCAATTCAACGAAAAGGACTGAGTCCTAAATTACAGTCACCTTCGGATGGTCCATATACAGTGCTGAACACGAATGACGTCGTGGTTCGGATCCGTGAGTCTTCGAACTCTTACGACAGGTTAGCTCATTACTATGGCCATAGTACGTAATGTAAATAATTGTAAATAGTATCAGACCATGGTCCTTTTTGTTTATAATGTGTATTTAGTATTTGATTTGTATTTAGTAATTGATTTGCATTTAGTATTTGATTTGTATTTAGTATTTGTTTTGTATTTAGTATTTGATAGCATTTGATTTGTTTAAGTTAGTTATTGCATTTATTGTTTATATTGTTTGATATTGTAATGTAATGTTTATGCCTCAGTTGCATTTATGCCACAGTTGTAAGTTTAGCTTCCTGTCCAGGGATTGTACTGCCCGGGACGTGCAGTCCTTGGGAAGGGGGCAGTGTTACGAATTTGGTATTTAAAAAGCTAATGTTAGTTCAATTACAAATTAAATGGTTTTATTTCTCGCGCAGTGCAGCGCGTGACGAATATTAAAAGAAAGCTAAGCCGGAAAAACTGAAAATACAAGAGCGCGTGCATTGAATAAATAAATATCTCTTTTTGATTTCGAGAAAGTACTGGAAAATTCTAGCGCGTGATTTTAAAATCTTATAAAAGGAGGAAAACATCTCAGTTTGTAGTAGTTGCTTAGTTTGTTGTTGTTTAGAAAACTACTGTTGTTGATTGTAGCGAATTCGCGGATTAGCGTTCTTTAGCTGTTTTGAATTACGTTCTATTGACATTTGAGTAGTTAAAAGAAAACTACTGTGAGATATTGTAATACTGCATGATAATTTGAGAAAATTTAAGCATTTTTGTTGTGATAATAATAAATTTTTGTTCATTTTTCATCGGACTTGTGCATTCATTTCATAACGAACCCGTACGCACGCAACAATATATATATATATACACAGGGTGTCCATAATTAAACTTGAAATTTGTGAGCAGTCTGTAGCAAAATTTATGCGGCAGAATTGCATGAAAATTAGGTAATGGCAGAATGAAATGATGGGAATTTTATCGAGGGGAAAAAACAATGAGTTTCAAAAACCACCATTAGATGGCGTTGTGCAATGCAGACTATTGACACATGCAAATGTCGTAACCATGGTAATCCTGTGCATTCACAGCAGTCCTATAAAGATGCGAGAGGCGAACGCTGTCATGCTCGTTTCTAAGTCAAGGAAGATGACGTTGACTCCCAGGAACGTGCTTTACTGCTGAAATTGTTTTACCAACACGGAGACTCTGCTACCGAAGTTTTGCGGAAATTTAGGTCTCGGGGAAGCGGTTACAAAACGTTTTAATCACTAGTCAAGGACTAACAAACATGATTAGAAAATTTGAAACAACGTGAACATTGAGGATTCAGCCAGGAAGAGGACGAAAGTGTGTTGCAGCACAGGTAGTGGATGATGTAGCGACGCAAACCATCGGCAGCACTAGTGTTCGGCGTACTTCAGCATCTGTTGACCAGCCTCGTTTCACGATTCATAAGATTCTTCAAAAGATCTTACTCAACTATCCCTATAAATTGTCACTAGTGCTGCCACTCTTACCAGCTGATCTGGATAGCCGACAAACGTTTGCGTTGCGGTTTCTTGGGCGAGTTGAGTGGCCTTGGAACCTTTTGTGGAACGGCGAGGCCCACTTTCATATGGAAGGTGCGGTTAACACGCAAAGTTGCCGTATTTGGCAAAGTTAACACGCAAAGTTGCCGTATTGGGCTGCTACAAACACACATCAAATCCTACAAATTTCATTACACTCTTACATGTAACGGTTGATGTGTTTTTTTTTTTCGAAGAGCACAGCGCCGCAGGACCTGTGACATGCACCGTTAGTTGTAAATGATACGCTTTATTATTAGAGCAATCCGTTATTCCGGCTCTTCAGGCAAGGCGATGTGATACAACCACAGTGTATATGCAGGATGGTGCTCCTCGACACATCGCCCGTTGTGTGAAACAAGTACGTCCCCACCATTTCGGTGACGACAGAATTATCAGCCGGCAATTTCCAACAGCTTGGCCTCCTAGATCCCTCCGAATTGAATCCTTGCGACTTTTGGCTGTGGGGATAGCTAAAGGCAATGGTCTGCCATCACATCTCTATCCGACCTTAAAGAAAGCATAGAACGCCATGTGCGTAACATTCCCCAGTTCATGCTGCTTTCAACAGTCGAACATGCGATTTTACGCTTCCAGATGGTAGTAGACAATGATGGACATCATATCGAGCATGTTTTGTAAACTTATGTAGATTGTTTATATGTTCTCAATAAAGTTATGATATGCCACCTAGGGGTGGTTTTTAAAACTCATTGTTTTTTTCTCTCGATGAAATTCCCATCATTTCATTCTGCCATTATCCAATTTCCATGCAATTCCGCTGTACAGTTTCTGGTACTGACTGCTCGAAAATTTCAAGTTTAATTATAGATACCCTGTATATATATATATAGTATATATACACTCCACAATAAAATGGCTACCACTTCTGGCCTTAGGAAGGGCCAATGCCGTTATAGGCAAGTGCCCGCCATTGAAAATGAAATTGGCTCGAATTCTTTCCAAGGTTATATTCGGGTTGGTATGTTACATTCTTCGGTTGCATCCATATTATGTTCCGAGTTTTCACTATCACTCGTTGCTACACTCCAATCGAGCTTGTCCGGGGACGTAGCACTGTCGCGTGGCATTGTGGATGAGGTACTTTACTCATAACAGCATGAAGAATTAGCACACCCACCCATAAATGCTGAATGCCGGGTCTACTCTGGGAATGTAGATACTGAAAATCACTCATAAGTCCTAACTCGTTGCTCAGCTAACCGCTAAGTCTCAATGCCGATTTTTAACTGTTTTACAACTGAGCTTTCCAATTCTCTGATTCGCATTTATACATTTCAGCAGTGGCTCTGAAAACTTCTGGAATAATCGATCGTGTGGCTACAAAAATGCAAATCGAAAAATACAGATTTTTGTAAATCTTCCAGAAATTGTTAAATGTTGATAAGTTCCCAATAAAAATACTTCCTTTAAGAACGAAATTATCTATGACTCCAGTTCTCTTTGATCTATTTTACAGTTCTAAAACCGTTGCCCTCATGCAACAAATAAATACATAAATACAAGACATGTGGTCATAAATTACGTTAAACTCAAAATAAGAGGTAAAATTACCATTATAAAAACAAAATAAACAAATAAAATCAATAAGTAAACAATACAAATCATTAGAACTATACAATAAATAAAAAGAATTCAAATACAAATATTTGCAACAAAATATTGCTTTCAAGCCGTCCAGACGGGAAAGTGGTTAGTGACTCTGACTGCCGTAACGAAGGAACTAGGTTCGAACCCCGGAGAAGGCATGGATGTAAATTGTCTGTTCTTTCATAGGAGATAACGGTGGCCCACCTATTAGGTGCATTCGTAATGAAGTGGCCACCGTTTCCGATCTTAGCAGTAGCCAACGCTTATAATGACTAATTCCCGCCATTTGGGGGGAAATTGCTTTCAATAGCTCAGTCTGTTGTTGTGATAAGTAATGCATTGTTATAATTCACAAGATGAATTATGTAGGGGAGAGAGAGTTAGCAACTCTAACCTCAGGTAGTTTGCTAAGCCTTGTGGATGATTAATGCAAAGACGTGTAATGGAACGTGCACGAAGATCTGAGAGATTAGATTGTAAATACTTTTAAATAATAAAATATTTAGCACTTTTAATGCTTGTTTTTTCTTATATAAAATACATATTTTTCTTATTCATGATACTTCTTTATATAAACTATTCGATTGCTCATAAGTTTCAAGGAAGGCCTATACGTCTTTTGAATGGTGATATAAATAAAAGACACTAACCCAAGAGATAATCTGTCTTATTTGGATCGACGAGGTCGAAATCTTGTTTTCTGGTAACGTATTTGTAAGCCAAGTTCCTGTTCTTTTTATCTTTCATCCAGTCTTCTATGAGATTCTTATTGTCCTGTCTCCGACCCATTTCCATTCTCATTTTGGAATCCGTCTTTTTCCCTGGCAAAAAGTTTCCTCTCCCGCCACCAAGGATCACCTAAAAATATTTTAGATTAGATGTTATTTAGTTAACTAAGAAAATTTACTCTGCTTAGTTTTGTCACTATCTAAAGTTAAGTGCTTACCACTTTCTTGCAGTTAAAGGATAAAAAGTATTGATTTGTGTACTTAAAGCAAATTGAATTTAATAGATAATTTGCAGATGTGTAAGATTTAAAGAACTTTATCGCTTAAAATTTTAGAAAAGTGACTTCATTATGACTGCATCAAGATTAGTTATTCAACTGACTGTTTTCTGATTTCACACTGGGTACCAGGATCTTAAAGAACTCTCGTAAAAATCACCTTCATGTGAAATGCGAACGTTGTGCTCAAAAGCAAGCGGATGTTGCTCTCTAAATTGGTTCAAAATTTTTCACTTTGGGAAGAGACTGCTGAACAAAACCTTTCCATCAAAACGTGAGACGTTCTGGAAAGCTGGCTGAAAGACAGATCGAAATAAATTCAGCTTGTTAGTAATTTATCTAGAAAAAGAATTTAATGAGCAATGAAACTATCCATATCTACTATTTGCATAGGCTTCACATGAAGGCTCAGTTGGATTCCTTCCAAACTGGGAACCCCCTGTTAGTTCGCACGTCTGTTTATTTCTCCATTCTTGTTGTCACACCAGATATTCAAAACTTTTATGAATAACGTAATGACATGCAATGAAAACAGAATGAAATATAATAACATAAACCTTCGCATCATCGATTGCCGACAAAATGTTTATTACGCCAGTGTAGGACCATCAAACGCCAGTGCAGGACATAAAAGTGCGTCAGTATGTTTGGAGAATCCTTGCCAAGATTAGTTCACATCGAAATTCTATCACACGAAAATGTCATGATATCTAAAATTTACACAGCAGAACTGCAAAGATTTCAGATACACATATGTTAAAATTTAACAATTTTTGAGTACTTTCGTTTATATAATACGAGACTGGTTTGGTTTAGAGTATTTATTTATGACAAAGCTCTCAAGGATTATCTACCTAAGACTAGGGATTCCTTCTTGGAGGATTCTCCAAGGTTAACTGGCTCTTATACACTTTACAAATGGAGAAAATCCCCTAAACACACATACAGTCAGCTCATTCGCCAAGATGCGAACCACAGTCTGAACTAACCGTGTTCAGCAACTTTATCGCTCAGATGCTGGGGGCTGTATAATACAAGAACATGAGCTTTATGGTGATGACCGTTTCATGTGAGAAAAAGAAAAAAAAATGTTTAATCCATTGTCTTTCTACTTTCAGGGTATCCTTTTTGTTCATAAAGTTTAATAATACTGAATCTCACCAGTTGCCGAGTGCATAAAATCGCTGAACACTTGTTGTTCCAACTACATTTGAATGTTTTTTGAAACAGAGTGGCTGTGTAGGCATTTTTAACAATTTTCCCCGTATGTCATTTTAGAAGTGTCAGAGCTATCTACTGAAAACATCTTGTCCCTTAGGTAACATACAAATAAGCAAACGATACTCTGAAAATAGTGTTAAATATTGTGGAAGATACTAAACAAAATGCATTAATTCTGCTAGGTAACAGAATTGTGATTTATTTGTGTTACTAATGAAGTATTTTTATTTAGATTATTAAAAACGGCCTCTAGATTCTCCTTATCCCAGATTCGAACTTGAGATAACATTAGATGCGTTCTGATAAAGAAAGGCTTTTACAACTGCATTGTAATTGTAATGCTTATAAAATACTCTCTGGAAGTAGCGAAAGGTACTGTCACTCAAGGCTCTCCGGGAATTGAAACTTAGCGTCCAGAACAGCGCTTAAGCAATGAGAATTGCCTATTAAGCGTATTTCCGGTGTAAATCCTTGCCATGAGTGTGCAGAAATTTAGTGGTCAAAGTATTACGGAACCTTTGTAGGACACTGTTTATGGACTTGTAAAGAGATTTCTTGAAGCAGGAGTATTGGCAGAAATCCACTTAGTGGTTCGCTTAAAATGAGATCGAGCAAATACTTTTGCGTATTCAATGTTCAAGCTGTAAAGTTTAAATATAAAATCTTAAAGATGATATGCCGCATTTCATGATTTACGAATACGGGAATTTTGAGGTATTTAAAATTGATACGCCTCGGTTTCCGTCTGTGAGCCTACCTTATCAAATGTGATACGGGAGAAGTACCACTTCAGCCTAAGTATCATATTTGATAAGCTGAAATGAAACGCTTCATTTCACACCGTAAATACCCATAAATGGTATCTGAATGTCGTGAAGCTTGATTGAATGTAATGTCTTGATTATTAGGTCATAATATTATGAGTATTATTTACTATTTTATTCCACAAATACAGAAAGCATTCTAAGCTTACAATGTGCATTCATATTTATAAAATGTTTTACACAATGCAAGCTAGCTGCTTAAATATTGAACATAAATATGACAATGGGTTATAACAGGCAAAGGTATTTATATTATTGTCGTTTTCAGCTCTGTTATTGCATCGAAATAATTTAAATACGCTGAATTTTTCTTTACTTTTAAATTTTGATTAGAAATATTAGGTTTTTCTCTTTATGTTGTAAGAACAACAACGAGCAAAAATACGAATTTTTTGATAAAAAGCAGAATTTACAGGAATTATTGTTCCATGTTATGTTAACTGTAAAAAGCTTTCGAGCACACAATGGCATTCACTGCTCCAATGTTATTTACGGGGAACCTTCACACCCCCTCCGCCGGAAGCGGAGCTGTTAATAAGTAATTAGGTAAGTAATGGCGAATCTTTGAGTTTGACTTGTCAAATCTTGGAACAAACCTAACTTAAGTCAGTCGAAGTGTCGCAAATACGAGAATTATCCGTCTGCCATTCGTGTCATTTGTCAACCAAGAATGCACACGAATGCACCGGAGAGAAGCTCAGTAAATATTGACAATAACAAAGCAGTTGCAAGAGACAAATATTTTTGTATTAAAAATTTTCTGTCTTCGTCAACGGCTCCGTTGACGGAAATGTGTTTTGCGTGTCAGTTAAAATGACTTAGCGTGTCACTTAACACAAGTTTGCTGTCAGGTGAAGTAAATCCTTACTGATGCTACGCATGATTTTCAGATGATATCTAGCCCAGATATCTCAAGAATTTTCGCAATCGGTGTTTCTTGAATTTTAGTCGCAGGTGAGCGCGTGTGTTTTGTAGCAAATTTTAATTGTGCTAATGTATTTTAATTAACTATTATTTAGGTTTTTATTTAACTGAATTTTTTTGTGTTTAGTCCAGTTGTTATTTTTTTTTTAGGTAAAATCTTTCGTTTCATTAATTTCGATTTTTAGTTTATAGGATCTAACTCTCTTTGCCCACATAAACTGTATTAGATCTTACTAGTGAACCTGGCGACTTCTAGCACAAGCGTGGAATAATACCAGCATAGTGATAACATGTAGTTTCGATAGAGCAACATTGTTATTTTGAATATTATTCCACCACGCTGCCCGAAACGTGAGTGCTGGTTTTTTCAATGGAACTTCGCCGTCAAGCAGCATTCAAAGTAATAGTGGTCTCGACTGCCCACTTTCCTACAGTCGCAGATGTCTGTGTTGGATAGACCAAACCTATGCAGATAGGCTTTGTACGGTCCATGTCCTGTTAGGAAATGTGACATGCTGGCAGTTATGCTCTGCAGATCCATGCTTACACTTGGGAGCATTGCATGTGTACGTCGACCCTTTGTAGCATCATTCCAGCGGGTTTGCCACTGTCTTATAAGAAGTTTGCATGTGGAATGCTTTAGCAGCGAGAATGGAAGTGTTGTTGGGCACTCAAGTAAGGATGCACTATTGGCAGCTTCTTTAGCAACAACGTCTGCACTTTCATTTCCTAGTATTTCTACGTGCGCTGGCACCCAACAGAGTACAGGACGAAAAGGTATAGGGATACTAAGGAGAGTTCTCTGTATTTTGTTAACCAGAGGGCTTCTGCTGTACATGCTTGAAAGTGCTTGGAGGGTTGAGGCGGAGTCCGTATAAATATGAACTTGTTAAAGACTAGTCCTACAACTGTGGATGATTGCTGCATGTAAGGCTATGAGTTCTGCCTGAAACACTGAATTACTTTCGTTCAGTCTTCGTTTCCAGGAGAAGATAATGCTGCCTTTATCCAATTCGCAGAATCCACATCCTGTGCCAGTATTTGTCTTAGATCCATCAGTGTATAATGCATGATAATTTTGCGACGGAGAATCTGAGTTTATATGGATGGTGTCCATTAGGTCAAATTGTGCTGGGTGACAAAGATAAACGAGATTTGTATTTTTCATATTCTGTGTGGATTATGCTCTGTCCCTACAGTGATGTATTTTTATTAAACCTTGTAGCTTTCATCACTGCGGCTTCCCTCTCGACTATAAGATCAAGAGGGGGAAGACTCGCAATGACTTGTAGAGCAGATGTTGGAGAAGTCCGATAGGCCCGACAGATGAGCAGAAGTTGACTTCTTTGTATGGAAAGCAAAGTTGTCCTCATGGTAGAAGTGAGGTTCTGGCCTCAGATGGAGGCTCCGTACAAAATAATGGGTTCTGAAATGGTTTTATACCAAGATTTCAGGAGATTTGCCTGTATGCCCCATTTCATACCTGCAGTACGTTTCATATTGTGAGATTGCCAATGCGCTGCCTGAGAATTTTAAGATGAGGAGTCCATGAAAGTTTATTATCAAAGGACAGACCTAGGTATGTCATTTCTGAGACTGTTTTTAATGAATGTTCCTGTAGTTTTAGATAGGTTCTTCTCCTAAGAGAAGGACGACGTCCTATCGTCATGGCTTCCGTTTTTTCTGCACTTATTTCAAGTTTATGCTCCTTGGCCCATTGAGCAAAGATATCTAGACAATCCTGCGATCTTTGTTGGATATCGCTGCTGCCCGCTACAATAATGAGGAAATCATCAGCATATGCCAGAATCTTGACTTGATGAAGGTTGCTAAATCGCTGGAATGCACTGTTTGCTACTAAGTTCCACAGGGTGGCTCCTAAG